GCGACACGATTGGCGGAATCATCGCGGTACTTTCGTACTGGAAAAAGGTACGGCGGGAGGGGAGAACGCGGTGACGAGAAGGATGCACGGATGGCGAACGCCAGGGAGGGAGGGAGGGAGTGAGTGAGAAAGAGAGAGGGTGAGAGGGGGATACAGAGAGAAAGACAGAGTGCATGACAGAGAGGGGAAAAGGAGAGTACGAGGCTCGTGTTTCCGGCCGGGTGAACAACAATGCCCGCAGACAAATGAGCATCCCGCCTCCATTGTTCGCCTGATCGGCACGGCGCAGCCTCTCCCCGGTTCCGCTTGCTGCCCCGGACCTCCCTATGTCGTCGTCAGGGGCCCACGTCGTACTCCAACACCCGGTTGGGGGGTCCCCGATCAACCTGATGCGGGCCAACACCGATTAAACATCGCTGCTTCGTCGAATCTCCGTCAACGGGACTCCTCGCTCTCCTTCTCCCTCTTTCATCTCCACCTCCTTCTGCACCTCCTCTACCCCTGTCCCTCGCCGTTTGTCCGTCGTCCGTTTCCTCTTGCTCCTTTTGTGCTACCTCTCGATCGCTCTCTTACCTCCCGTGCTTTTGTCTCTGCATGTTCGGCTCTCCCGTGTCCTTCCCGGTCTTCTTCGATCGGCGCTTTCATTATGTTCCAGGTGCGGTTCCACCGTAGGGGAGGTGAACAGGGCGCAGGGAGACCGGGGCGAGCGACGACTCTCGTGCGACACGTCAGGCACCGGGGTTACGTGAATCGGGACTTACCGGTTGCGAGGATACCGTGAATGCGCGGTGGAACGCGCTGATGCAGACGCGGAGGTGATAAAGGTGAAACGAGCGTGCGAGAGGTCGTTCGGTTTTGAAAAAAGACACCAGGCGTCGATGGAATATGAAGTACTTGCGAAGTCTCGAGCGATGAACGCGGTATTCTTGGCAATTGTGATCCGTGTGCTGCGAACTATTATTAAGTTAGCGTTGCAATGTCAATCTTACAAATATGGCTTCATTGAATAAATTTCGTTAACGAGTTTTTTATTTAATAAGAAAAGAAGAAAAAAGAAAAATGAAAATCTTCATATGAAAATCTCATGTGAAAAGTATGAAATCAAGTGAGAATGCATGCAACAAAAATGCTAGATTCAAGCAAATAATTACTCCACTCCTTAGAAAAATTTTACTTGGATTAAATAAATTCTATTTTAATAATTTACCTGGAAAATATTTTATTTGGATCAAGTAAATATTACTAGATCCAAGTAAAAATTTGTTAAATATTGGAGTGATTATTTACTTAAATACAATACTATTTTTCTGTGCGCTTTTCTTTGAAGTGCGCCGATTGCGTTCAGACTCTTTTTGTATAGGCGTATTCGGCTCTTCTTATATTTAACCGTTTTCCCTTTTTTTTTCCGTCATACGCTTCTTCCATGTATCTACAATATTTAAATATAATTGATTTTTTACGGTTTGCGTGTAAATCGCTCGATTTTACACGCATCACGCTTCCCTTATTTGCCAATGTTTTCCTCAAAAACGACGTGATTTCCGCCGAATCGAGCTGATATCGTTATGACTCACGACTCGTAGAACATCGCTGTGACCCCTCTAATAATTGGAAACTTAATTACCGCGGGATCTTCGACGTTATATTTGGACACGTCTCGTCACTCAACGTATCGTCGAGAAATTAGATTTGCATCTTGGACGTCGCTTGTATGACGCCTAATATTCGCGTACGGTTTAAGCGTACGGTACGCTTGTAAATAATTGTCGCATGCTCCAGAAACCAATTCGTTGCTTGGTCTTGCCAAACTCGATTTACCATCGTCAAATCCGGCCACGTTGTTATTTATACCGTGAAACTTCGACGACAGAGACCGTTTCGGGGGAGACCGACCGACCGAAATAGTTAACGGATCGCTTTTATGAGATTATGGATACGCGTTACGTCATGACGCGCGTGCGGACGCGTACGGGTGCGGTTTCGATGGCCGATTTCCGGCGCGGTTCCCGATCGAAAAACTCACGAGACAATGGACCATACGTCCACGGGGGACAAACGGTCCGCGATGTAATGGCACGAGAGAGGAAAAAAGAGACGAGGAGCTCGAAGCGAAACGGAAGCCCCCTGCGACGCACAAACGATCACTTGTGATTATTATCCATGGAAGCCGATGACGGCCAAGTCGATGGTTTGCTTGACTTCCGGTCGCGTTTCGCTCGATACGGTCGTCATGATGCGCCCCGATTTCTTTACCGAATACGGTGACTCGCCACCGACGTTTTCAACCTGAGATTCAAGTCCTCGAGAACGTAGCAATTAAAAATTCAGTCGAGGCACGACGAGACACACTCGAATGGCACGATAACAATTCAATGAACTCTCTTGGGGCTTGTACGGAAAATAAGATGAAAATTCGACGGCAAGAAATGAAAACTCGATGACACGAAAAATGATATTACTATTACCGCGGCTGAGAACATCTGTGACATCTATAATATTGAAGTATCGGAAAAAAAAAAACTCTGGTTTTTATCTCAGTTTATCTCAGTCTATCTGCGGACTCCTGTCCTAAGGATACGAGAATTTCGAAGGAATCGAGGGATGCTCCCGATTGGCGCAAAGCGTCTCGCTTGTGCGGCCGACTGATAATAAGAAGACGATGTCGTCGGCTCAGGAGACCAGATGTCGTGTAAGGATTCAGGATCCGCCGGCCCATTCATGGCAGCTCCTGTGGCAGCGCACCTTGCTCGAAACAACGTCGACCTCCTGGACTAAGGAAATCCGATACACCACGGTACCTCGGGACGTACGCTACCCTACTCATCCATATTGCGGCCCGTTCCAATTCCATTAAACAACTGACAGCCTCTCCACCGAGCCGCTCTTCGTGTGCCGCGAGCATTGTAATCGTCGTAATTTCCCCGTCATCGATTAACATCGATTGCACATCGATACCCTGGTACACGAGTACATTCGACAGCGGTCCGGGCAATGAGCAAGACGTGTCGACGAAATCTCTTATAACTTCTCTTCTAATATCACCGTGACACGCCGAATAACTTATTTACGATATCATGTTGAGAATAGTTTCTTTATTTAAATTATCTACCGTCTAGATTTTAATATTGCACAGCCTCAGGCTATCTATTTGATATTTTAAAGCGGAGACTTTCATTTCTATATAATGAAACTCTGCCCGATGGTAAAATGAATTCATAAATAAATGCATATATGTCTAGCTTAACATATTTCAATTTAAATATAAAATGTTCCAAGGATTTTAATCAAAAGTTTCTGAAATTCCTTTATCGTTACCGAATTAAAAAAATTACCGAGTGAATATATTCGTCAGAAACATGATTCTCTTGCAAAATTGACTATGTAATAATGTTTTAAAACGTCATGTATAATCGTAATCATACATGAATAATTATATTTTTTCGTTTCTATATAATTTAGAGCTGCATTCATTCAATATGTTGCCAGAAACGTTTCTTTTTGGCTCAAACTACGACTTACGACTTTTCTGACGCTGCTGGAAAACCTCCATGTCAACGATTAATTCTTCATACGAATGCGCCACCGTATCGGTGAAATCCTCACGCCTGCAATTATCGAGAAAAGAAATTATTTGCTTACGTAACTTCGATAAATCACGCAGCGAGTTAACTAAATCGTTCTCTTCATGAGACAGAGATTGCATCTGTTATCAGCTGTGAGGGCAGTCTTGTCCAAGCCAAGATGCTGGAAAACTCCTAGTCCTTTACGCCAAACATTCTTCTCCTTCGAAATGTCATCACCGCATGATGTTGACGATTCCGTCCCCGACGGCGTTTTAACCTCCAATGTACCTTTTGACTAAAATATATTGCATACTTAGTTATAATTTATTTATAACGATTACACGTTAACATCAAATAGACGTGAAATCGACGTAATTTGATATAATTTCGGTTGTTTCGACGTTGATTTGACGTCGAAGTTCGAAGTCAACACTATTTTGAAAAAAATCGCAATAATTAGTGAGGAATTACATTCGTTTAATTATTCATGAGTAATATTCAATTACATTCATGTATTCACATATATATATAATTATATGAAAAATTCCCCTCCCTTCCGATTTTATATAGAAGGGATAAATTTCTCTCATGTAAACAAATTCAAAAATAATTCAGAATTACACGTATACGGATAGTAGGTTATGTTAGTATAATTGCGTCATTTTTTCATCTTGACTATAAGAACGTATTAGTAATGATAAATTGCCTGTGGACTGTAACGACAATTGAATGAAATTTCGTACGCGTGTTTGAAGAACGTATATGAAACTAACGTGTACCCCCAAAGTTCTAAAAAGTCTTGTAACATAAAGTTCTAAAAAGTCTTGTAACATTAATATACCTGTAACGGCTCGGCAACCGAGACATTTCACATCGAAGTGACAAAGATGGATGCCCCGACTGAGTACGCGATAATCGAATTACCACACGACCTCTACTTTATCATATATATATATATATATATATATATATATATCACCACTATTTCATTTATCACGTTACCTCTGTGCGATTGTAAGTCGCCCCGCGCATCCAAGAATTTCCAGGACGCCTCCGCCTTTTCCCGACGACTCACGCCGCTGCCTCCCGCGGGAACCAGTTACACGTCCTCGTCCCTCGAGCCCATTTTGAAATCGCAAGAAGCGCGTACGATACGTTGACATCACTTCCGCCGGCACGGGTGTGAACTGCGCGTCTAGTGAAATCGAGTATCTCGATCTGGTTACAATCGCTGCTCGGTCGGTAAGAGCGGTGAAATCCACGAGCCTCCTTGATGTGGTACGAATGGCGCCATGTTCAAGATCGCAATCAGCAACCTGGAATTATTTTCGCTCGTGTATTTCCGCTCTAGAGGAGAGCGTCGCGTCGGCAAAGTACACCTGCGATCTCACCTTCCGTCGCGTCATCCATCGATCTTGGGTCTGAGACGAACGGCACCCGGCGCGCCTTGCGCATCGCCTTGTCAACTGAACTTGCACTCAGTCGAAATTAGCAAACTGGATGACGACGATGATGTCATTGCCCCGAGGAGCCGAGCGGCGCGGCGCAACGCCAGCGAGCGGCCAGTGAAGCTGTCAAGATGGCCGTCACGTACATCTGATCGGAGGTGTGTGCGAAATTCGACGCCGATTCGCGATAAAACGGAGCCATGCACTACGTGTCGCTGGTACGGTGATCGCGCGGAGACAGCCGGCTCGTATCGATGCGGACCATCCTGGGCGCCGTCGATGGTTGTTCCTGTCCCCGCGGCCGCCGGCGGCTCGCAGTGAACCATGTTCAGCAAGAAGCTCCATGTAGACGTGAAGAAGTCTACCCTGAAGATCCAGGATGTCAAGAAGGACAGCGCGACGCGATTCAAGCATCTCAAAATCGTGCTAGGTGAGGACACTGCGCTTTGCCTCAGGTGACAGATAACAGCCGTTCAGTGGTGAGCACACTGAAAGAGGATGGGAAGCACACCTTTGGTAGCTGCTTACTCCCACACGCTGATGCAGACACCCTAAAGTGGAATGCGACGATCTTGTCTATGGTGGAAGTTGCCGATGCGTTCGCACCTTGTGCTCCGTTGAGAAATCTCACCGTCGTATCTTTTGACGAGTGATGTTTCAGTTTTCACTTCTTGTCTGCTCACTTTCAATTTTGCGGGGGAGTACACGATGTTATTTTTTATTATTATTAAAGAATAAAGAAGTTCGTTTGCTTTTGAGATGCAAAAAGTAGCTCACTTTGAGATGTTTCGGAAATTGAACATTTGAAATAGTTATTGATTGTAAGTAGTATCAATAATACAGCTTTATATTGATATGTTTCCAGAATCAAAGGGATAGACAACTGCAGTACAGTCAAAGACAATGCATAGATATATATTTCATTTTTTTATAGCACGTTTTTAAGATAATATATAAGCTTGCATACACACACATACACACACACATATATCTTATTATGTAAAATATACTTTATACAATATTTTTAATAATTATTTAACAGGAAAAAATACATATAATTATCTGTTATTACACATACAGGCATTAGTTATTCAAGGAAGTTATTGTAAAACAACTTAAGTTTTAATCCATATTTAAAAAGAAAAATATCTTAGCTATTACATTATCTTGCATATTGCGTCATTTGCTTATTGCTTGCCCTAGTTGAAAAGAAAAAGAATATAAATCCATGTAGTTACAGGATTGTGGTTTCCCAGTATTATGAGAGGTAGTCGGTATCTAATCACCAAACCGCATGACCACATTGACCAACCTGTGGCCTCTATCTCTGGCTAAAGTTACATTATTATTGTATGTTTCATGTATCTTAACAAACACACCTTTGACTACTAATAAGAATTGCTCCCGTTGATTTTAAATGCTATATATATTTTTATCAGTGCAATATGGTTTCAATGATAAATTAATATATAGATAAAAAAACTAAGTCTTACAAATTCTATAGATATAATATATCTGTCCTGCCTTGTGATGCTTTGCTCTCCATTCTGTATACTATAACAATTACTTCTGAAATATTAGAATATGCAATTATGCAATACTATTTTTATAATATACATTTAAGGGCAGAGAAAAAAAAGTTCTGCCATATAAGCACAAGTGTTCAAGACCAGTCGTGATGTAACAGAATTTCCACAGTTCTCTGTATAAGGCATATGTGTCACAAGAGAAAGGTTTTTCTTTATGCTTCCATCTACCTGTAATTAACGTCTGTATCGTAGCTTTGATTATAATATATTTTATATAAAACATGCGTCAATATATGTTTTTTTTTATGTTAAAGAAAATGTGGACACTGACGAGGCAAAGGGATTTTTCGAAGGCAACTTTAGTCATGTGTACTTCATCTTGTACGATTGTTTTGTATCTGCTGAGGCGAATCTTCGACAACGCGGTGAGTGGAAAAAAATAAAGCCGATACTTCTATGTAAAGCACTATAAATGAAGCTAACTGTCTTACTACTGTCTAGCTTTGAATATTTCCATGCTTACACATATCACTTGTAATTGTGTGTCATATTTAACTATGTAACATCATTGCTTTCAAAATTACAATAAATTCTTTTTATTAATGCAATATTTACACATTATATCACTTTATTATCTCTTCCATTTCTTTTCATTTCGCTGCCAGAGCTTTCCTTCCACATTGGTAAGTCACAAAATATTATATTATACTCTAGCTTGATTTTTCATTACTCTTGCTTGTTCCTAAGTAACTTCTTTTATTTATGAGTGCGTTACAAATATTATAACTTGGAAATTTCTGCAAATATCACTCTCGTGTTATTTCAATTATGAATATATTATTGCAAATTTTCCGCAACACGATTTGAGGGGGAATGATAAAGACAATTTATGTTTCCTTTATTTTTAGTGCATAAGGCACACAGGGAAGAGTTAGAACAAGTATTGCAGCTCCTGGAGAAAGTTCTGACTCTTCTTCCGGAGCTGCTCAACAGACGATGGCAATGCCATAGTCTAGCACGGATTCTGCAGAAGCTCTTACATCCTGGCAACAGTTGGAAATTACGCAGACAAGCCATAAGGTACATCGGTGTTATTGGTCAAAACGTATATATTTCTATGAAGCTATATTTACACTAACATCGTGAATGTTTCAGATACTTTATTCTGTGGTACCAAGCCCTTGGCGAAAATGCTCCCGAGCATATACATCAGATGTTCGCCAGTTTGGTGCCGGGATTCCCACCGCATCAAGCATCGCCTTACAAATGTGATCGCAAGGCGGACGGCAAGAAAGAAAAGGTCGCGAAAGCGACTAACCATGAGGAGAAGGACAAGAAGGAATTTTACGACACGCAACTCGTACTGAGCACTTTTCATGACAATGGGTCGAATCAGTGTCCTGTCAGCCAAGTTGACGGCGGGCCCATTTTACCACCCCAAAGTGGGGAAAAGCCGCTCGACAATGAGACTGTTAGGTTTTTGGAAGCATTGCTTGAATTTATGGTTACTCAGGTACACGATTTAACGTATCACTCGTTCTTTCTTAACGAAATTTCGCCTCACATGTACTTCCACTCGGTCATTCAACAATATTTATTCAATTTTGGAAAGATACAAAAATGACGATTTAATACAAGTTAAAATTTCGATTAATTTCATAAATTAAACATTCTTTATTATGCAGGTGGTAAAGATAGAATGGCGGGATAAGTCTACACGGCAACACAAAACTTTCCAATTTCTGTTGGAGCGCTTCAAGGCGACGTACCTTCGTCACATTTGTCCAGAATTCGACGACAACTTTTCTCTGTACAAGCCAAATCTGGAATTGCCTACAATGCGAAAACCGATGAATCAAAACCAGGATAACTACATGCTCTGTAAAGTCGTTCTAATCAAATGGATCGCAAGCTTCACGCACGTCGCTAGGAAGGACGGGCTTTTCGCCCATCTCTCGCAGAGGTAACGTAGCCGAAGCACTTGTTTGTCTCCGTATGCAACTTCAATGCGTCATCGAACGGTGATCCGCAGCACCACGCCGAACGAGGAGAACGCCGAGTCCGAATTGCGCCGTGTGTCGGTCACGCAAAATTCCACGGACTCGAATCTATTGTCACCGGAATCAGCCATGTCCCAGCAGGACAGCCAGAATCAAGAGGACAGCACCATCTCGGCGGTCACATTAGTCAGAGAGGTTTTGTACGGAAACAGGGACAACGTAAACTTCGTGCACGAACTGTACAGACAGGCGTTTCTTCTGGACTTCAGTCACGCCGGTGCTATACGAAAGGCCATCGCCGTTTACAAGGATTGGATTCAGATGAACGTGAGTCTCGAGGACTGTAAAATTATCTAAGCTCGTGTTCAAGTTGTTACACCTTCGAACGTTTCGCAGGAAATACCTCCGTTCATGTTGGAACCGTTGGATGGTCACAAAGATCGGGACCTGGAGGATAATCAAAGGAAGGATGGCAGTGAAACGGAGAAGAGTCCATCCGAGAGTTACCGGCAGACGAGATTGAGGAACGATTCTTACCTGGGAGCTATACACCGGGAGAATTTATTCATCAGGGCGGGCTTGCAGAATGTCCTGCAGGTGTTCATCACGCAGGCGTCGAACGTATTCTTCCTGGAGCACTCGGGACCGAATTCGTCCGCGACGTTACTCGAGGAACAAACCGACAGTTGTAAAAGGGTCTTAAACGTGTATCGATACGTTGTTATGCACTCCAGACTGGAACCAGCTACCTGGGAACAGTTGCTGAGGTACGTCGTTGATCAGCCATTTCCTCTCTCCTCCTCTCTCTTCCTCACTCTCTTTCTCTCTCTCTCTCTTTCTCTCGCGATTACCATCGTCTCGCAATAATTAAATCTCGAGTCCCTCGGGTTCTCTCAGAGTGTTGCTGCAGATCACGTCTCTTGTGCTGAGCGAGAAATCCTCTCGCCGCAAACATCAGGAAAGTATCGGCGGCAAACTGGCGCCCGCTATTTTCCAGACGCTTATCGTTACATGGATTAAAGCTAACTTAAACGTGGTTATTTCCACCCAACTGTGGGACCAGTTTCTGGAGGTGCTGACGTCGTTGACGCAGTGGGAAGAGTTAATTCGAGAATGGGCGGTGAGTACGACGAAGATCTCGCGATACACCAGGGTTGCCACAGATCTGGGAAACCGGGAAAAGTCATCGGAATTTAAATTGGTTCAGACAAAACCTGGAAAAATCAGGAAAAGACATAGAAAAGCCTAGAATTTTGAACTTTGCTCACAATCCCCTCAAATGCTCTTATTCTAAACTGTACTTATAATTTTTTAAATATTATATCTAACGTTTGTAGTCAAATACAAAACTCATGTACTTCATAAATAATTTCTTTGTTACGGCCGTGACAAGTAGAAAAATTTAAGAAATAAGACTTAAGCAGTAAGAAAAGTGATCAATCACAGTCGATTGTTTCTCGCATGTGATTGTCAATTTTATCCAGCGTTTTTATTCAACCGTTCTTTTCCGTCGTAACCGAATTCTTTTTTACGATTTTCATTTATTTTTTGTTGATCTGAATTTACATTCAGGATTATATTACATCACTAAACTTCTAATCTTGTTGCGTGTGTTTCTAATAATATAAACTACCTTTCTTGCAACCCTTGTAAAGTGGAGAACCTGGAGAAGTCATTTCAAAATTCACTTTTTGTGGCATTCCTGCACTCGGACTCACACCTGAAGTAACGACCTTTTAATGATCGTCAAGCAGAAAACCCTGGACACACTGACGAGAGTACTAGCGAGACACGTATACAATTTGGACTTGAACGACCTGCCCTTGGACAGACTGAGCGAGCAGAAGTCGAAGAAACGACGCGGGGTCGGGAGTCGCGCAGCGTCCACCGGGAGTGTGCAGCCACCTCGGACGGGTAGCGTCGACCAGGAGAACAACGTCGCGCCGAAGGAGAACGTGACAGGTAAAAAACCGATCTCCCGTTTGATCTCGTTACCTCGCAGTACCGAATCGGCAAGAAGATATTTGAACTTTCACCAGATCACCCGCTGCGCGACCTGAGGAAGGTGCGACCGCTTCCTCGCAGCGCCAGCGACAACAATCTCTACAGCGGCAAGAATCGGACGAAGTTGCAGAGGAATCGCACGCACACGATACACGGCGGCATTCCCGGTAAGTGAGCGGAGTCGAGCGCGCGATTAGCGCCCGACTCGCTCACACCCAAGTGTTACTTTGGTTCTCACTCCTCTCAGGACTACACGGCGAAATCTTTGGTAGTGCCATCTGTGTTTGCTGACAGTGTTTGCGCAATTTATTTATAACTGTCCCTTATTTTTTTCGCTTTGGCGCCGAGATCGTGGTTAAAAATAACTCTCTCTCTCTCTCTCTCACACACACACACACACACGCACACATATACACACACTCAGACATACATTAGTTTCGTATCATTCTTTTTCATGGAACCACCACGCTCGTAACATACAGCGCCCATCGTCGCTTGTTCTAATTCTCTAATTGACGCCGGCCGCGCGCGAGAACGACTTTAACCGATCGTCTCTCGCCGCCCGGTGTACATCGGTCGCATCGTGCCTGTGCTCTACTCCGGAATTAAGTGTAAACATTTTCCACACGTGCAGTACTCCCCCTATCGATAGAACAAGATATGGCGCGGTTGCTGTCAAGCGGCTCGACCTCATCGTCGTCGGCCGGCCGGAAGATGTTGCCCAGCAGACGTGCCAAATCTTTGGATAGCATTGTTGTAGTTGATAGCGAACCACCGTCGCCACGATGCCCGTCGCCGACACCCAGCAGCGGCGTCGACAGCAACAAAGATAGCCCCATACAGATAGAGAATATTGACGGTAGCAGTATCGGTATGTATCGCTTCGTCGTCAATACGATACTTTTACAACAGCGTACGAAAACGTCGTCTGACGTAGCGAGCATCTCGACGTCTCCGAAATGTCATTTACTCGTTCTACGTCCGTGATCACTTTGTAACACACATCTCATCATTTAATCGAATAATAAGTAAATGTTTTGTCTCTATTAACAATACATTGCGCTTTTATTACCGCCATCAAGGCGAGAAAGGCAAACGATACCGAGGTGTATTCAAGAATACACCCTTTTGAACGAAAGCCTCTGCTTACCGGATACTGACGGTCTCGCTCTCTCCTCTGCGCTTTTCGGGTTTATATCTCGCTCGATCGAGCGTCAAGCTTGTAACAATTTTTCTCGTGCAACATTAGAAAGTGCGAAGCTTCACCGAGCCTATCGGCGCAATTTTATAATCTACAAATGATAGATACGAGTGAATTACGCATCGCTCAGCGATGTACGTTCGGTAGTGTTTGAATATATATTTGCACATGGTGTTGACAAGTCGTGACATACATTTGGGAAGTTATTATTATTCGGCAGATACGAACGATGCATCAGAGAGGAGATCGGTTATGGCAGGCGGAGGCGTCCGTGGATGGTTGCCAGATGTGGCTGTTGTTTTATGGCGGCGTATGCTCTCGGCATTGGGGGACGTGAATAACATTCAAGACCCCACTCTGCACGGCCAAGTCATGGACTATCTCGTGCAGCTCACGCAAACGTTGATCAAGGTGAGACTCGTCGGGTCGCCGAGCGTTGACTGACATTGAAAATAGAAGACACCGTTACAAGCCTGTGCTCGTGTTTTGTGCTTTCAGATACGTTTGAATCAGGGAGTATCCGGTGATAATCAAGCAACACCTCCGGCGCCCGAGCTGATCCCACCTTTAACGGTGATCGCACCGTGGTGCTTCAAGGTATGCACAGTGAAACAATTTCCTGTCGAATTAAACACAAGGCGGGTTTATGGCGTACACATATCTAAATTGTAACGATGAAATCGTTTGCATCCGCTATTCGTTACTTATTCGTTCACTCGGTATGTGCGCAGCTTGACATGATAGAATACTTTCCGATGTTCAATCACGCATGTCTCTCACAGGCGATCCAACTTCCTGAGCAGTACGAAATCGGCAAACTGGCAGCTTACCGTTTGATATGTCTCTTAACGGTGCAACCGCTGGACATCAGTCTACCGAAGCAACATTTGACGCTCTTCTATCGCGCCGTTCACAACGGCATCGCCAGTAAGGATAGTAACGTTCTGCAGGTGCTTGTGAAGTACACAGGACCCAGATTGTTTAGCCTGAATCTGCCCGGATCGAGTCTCCTGATTCTGGACTACATACACGCTGCTAATGTGATACTCGGCAGCCACGACGTCGAGGTACGCTCATCTCTACGTTGCTTTTCTCGTCGAATTAAATAATCCGACGCTCGTACACACGCCTTCTCTGTCCTTTCCAGGCACCAAGAACAGAAGCTGTTTCTATCATCGGCTCGTTGTTATCCTTACCCGCCGCAATGTTCAAGCTACCTATGCTGCAGCCGAAAGGGCCTGACATTATAACCATGACGTGCCCGGAAGCAAAGGTAAGTCCGGTCCTACAGGTGTAGTGAACCTTTAGCTTTTTGCCTTAAGTAATAAAAAAACGAGAAGGTAGTATATAATATAAAAAAATACTGACTTTTATACCCAGGATTCTATAGTGTAAGTTGAAATTAGTGCATTTTAAATTAGACGGTTTTAGTTGAAAGTTAACCCATTTAAAATTAATTCAACTATTAAGTTCTTGACTTTTAACTGGATAACTAGTTATCACCCACAACTCTGTTAATAATAATAATATAATAATAATAATAATTTAATGGCATGATAGAATAATGTTTCGATAATACTTAGAATGTTATTATCTTGAACTTAACGCAGGAACATATCGTAACGATACTCTTGCGGAGCTGCCGCCGGGAACCAACCGGGATCGCGAGATGCGTGGCTCTCTCCAGCATCGCGATGTTCGTGTACAAAGAATTGTCCTACAAGACGCAACATCAGCGGATCCCCGAAGCTGTCAACGTTCTCCTCCTTGCGCTTCGAGTAAGTACGATTATCCCCCGGTCTTAAATGATAAATATCTTCATAAGATGTTCTTCAACACGTCTATACGAGCAAACAGCTACAGATGCACATATCCCTACAAAAGCCCGTGAAACTTGGGACATTGAATGCATGACACACACAGAAAACTACCCCTGCGATTTTTAGTTGCTTCACAGCCTGCACTCTAGAGCAGTGTTTTAAGTTGAACACTGGACGTGTCATTTGGAATGCACCGCTGTTATTCGTGAATGCGTATTTCTTTCGAAAGTGGAGGGGAGGGAAAAAAGAGACAGAGAGAGAGAGAGAGAAAGAAAGAAAGAGATCCGTTTAACGATATCTAAGGCAGGCGTAGTGCTAAGGTGAAAGTGAACTCTCTTTCATTGAGTGTTATTGACAGCGGGTGCAAGGAGCGGAGCGCCGCAGAGCTGGTTTCCATTTCCCTCTAATGGATCAGGTAGCCCTTCTTTTTTTTTTTGCCTTAGTGTCACTGTGTCAGCTCTTTATCATGTGGTGTTGACAGTTTCGGACTGATACCTGCATTCTATGAGGATAATCATAGACTCCGCATGTCCCCACTGTTCGTGCTATGTATATATGTGCGAGATAATAAATGGTTCCAGTCCGCGATGGTGTTGTGGCCTTCCATATACGTCATCCCCGTGCACCTGCTAATGAGCGAATTTCCCATATGTTATTATTAACTCAATGTTGACGAGAATACACGGAAGTTAATCTCTATGCTCTCATCGGTGGTCGACCGGTGCTCAACGATTACATATCGATCTTTGTTTTCCAGGCCTCGCATGCCACGGTGGCGCAGGTCGCGTGTGACTCGCTTTTACTTCTCTGCGATAAGGCGGACGTGCTGCTAGAATTGTATCCCAACGTGCCATCTAAAATAATACAGGTACGAAGCGACATACAGGGTGTACGAATTTTGAGTCGGAGCTCGGGTGAACGAGGGCACCTTTTCATGTTGACGCTCGACGCTCGTTTTTCGCGTCCACATAAATCGCGAGATCAAAGCTGCTGGATAGTGAGAAACGCATGAAAAAAGGAGCGTCGGACTTCAGACGAATTAACTCTCAACTAAAATTGACACTTTTTATACGCGTTCCTTGAGAGATTGAAGTGTTAATTTTAATTTCTATTTTTAGTATCTCCTAAATTAAAAATAAGATTTTCATAGAAAACTATCATGATATTAAAGACTAATATGCAGACATACACAAATTTTAGAATTATTGACCATTTTGTTTTGAAAATCTAGCGGAAAGTTTATAAGTAATACTTGAGATATGTATGTATATATGTATTAGATGCGCAAATTAATTCGGTGCTTTTACCTTGAATCAATCATAATTTCAAATTCAAATATCTCCCCGCTATTTGGTAGATTTTGAAGCGCTAATCTGAAAACGCGCAATTTAAAATGGGAACAACAAATAGTACGAACTCCCACCTTATTAGGCATCACTTACATCTAACGCCATCTGTGCTTATCCCCGGATGTGACTGAACAAGTGGCGCTGAAAACTCCGTTCGATTTTTATAAGAGCGGAGTTTGCATCCCCTGGTCTCAAACGCTGGCGTCAAATTAAAACTACGTGGCCACGCTCAACGAGCATTTCATGAAAATTGGCACCATAATGGGATCTTTGTTGCTTGATGTTTAGGTCCTGTCGGATACACTCGGGCGAATGACCTCGCGAGAGAGACGCGGGCCCTTGACAGTGTCGATGTTGTTCTGCTTGGGCGAGTGGGCCATGCACTTAGGACCGACGGTCTTACTCCGAGTGTTCCAGGGGAAGCCTCTCCTAATGACGTTATTTACAGTTGGTATCCCATCTTTCACGTGACGTAATCTTCCCCCGACAGTTCTCTGAACCGTTCCCGCTTTCTCGTTGCACAGGTGTTGAACAACATAGTGCAGAATAAAATTGGCAAGGAGTCTTCCAAATCGGCTAAGAACGGTCAGGATGACGGTAGCGACTTTGAGTTCGACATCACGTTGGATAATCTGGCGGACGAGCCCTCCTCGAAGTCGCCCCACAAAGGGAATATCCAGTCCGTGCAGTTGGCGGCGAAAATGGTAGGCTGGTCTGATTCTACGTGCGTACGTGTGTACGTGCACGGTAATCTGAACGATATATTTGCCCCGAACCCAGGTGATGATGCATTTAATCAACCACCTGGGACATTTCCCGATGGGTATCGGAGCGGCGCGTCTCTCATCGCTAGTCGTCGAGCTGGACGACGTCCCCGGCATCGACGGGGACGAGCTGTCGTCCGCAGTTTTTCAAGCACCTAATATACAGCTGCTGATGCTCTCTAATTCGATCATAATGTCGCTGGTGGAGTTAGCGGCACTGGATGCACCTGGCGGCGGCGTCACCGCCGGCTTAACTACGGCTCCTTCTTTGGTTCGGGTTCTGCTGAGAGATCTTGCTGGGAAAGCCTCCTGGGACAGTTCAATACTATACAGCCAACCCTTCGTCGACGATGATCTACCGCTGCCATTTGCGAAGCCCAGTAATGATAATTAGTTGATGATAGTTAATGCGATAATTACGATATTGCGATTATTAACATCTTGACTGGAAACGTAATACTGCGTTTTGACATTCCTGCTGGTAGTTTGATATTTCTAGAATTGAATGTTCAAAGCTTTTCGAGTTAATTGATGATAGTTATTTATTTACCGACAATTAATTATTTATTTATTTAACTACGTCGTTCTTTTTCACACATCGCGATAATAGTTAATATAGATTAAGACTACGATATTCATAGTTTTATCATCTTAAGTTTATATTAGATATATTTAAATGCTTCATAGCTAATAAAATGAGCTGAACAGCATCTGAAGATGATCTTAAGGCGATCTTAGATATAAGATCTGACTATGAATATCGCTCTACGATGAGCCTTTATTATTCGTTTCAGTCGACTGGAGCGCGAAACTGCACACGGACGACTTGAACAGTGTCATCACACCTCACAACTGCACACCCAGGCACACAATACGACATCGCGAGCCCCACATATTGCCGACCTTCGCAAACGCTGCAAGTGACATGGACAACTTGGACGATGTAAGTTACGGCGTTACGGCTGCAGATAGATATATCGTAGCTTGTGATTGCGCGTTGTCACTGAGGGATTGTGTGTCTCCAGCTTCTTCAGTACATAGGGCATACCAGTCCAGAGGTTCTGACTAATCCGGAAGTCGCCCTCAACGCACCCGCTAACCCGCCTCAGGGACATTATCTGGAAAGCGAGACTATCGCGACGATTCTGAGTCAAAGAAACGCCGAGCAAGAACACGTCAACAATTGGAATCAACACATCAGGTTGCGTTTCTCATGTTTGGGACACACTTTGCAATCTTGCATTAAGGAGGTTCTGGCGCTAAGTGTTTCCGATGACACCTCAAGGGGGTCTCTCATAAATTTATCTTTTATTAAACAAAATTCCTTTCCTACGTATTTACTTAATCAACGAAATAATAAGTGTTAATTTGAAACGTAGCCGAGGTAAATGTATGTTACAAATATGAAATATTATTTCTTTTTTTTCTTTTTCTATTAATGCTATATTTATGCATCGCTTGACCTAATAGAGACGCACAGGTGATAGAAAGAAGCGTATAAGTGCTTAAATATATGCTTATACGCATGTACCTTGAATATTATCGTAAGTTATAAACTTTCCATCGCTCTACTTTCAGAACTTCTGAAACTTGACTGTAATATCTGTACGTATTAGTCTTTAATTTTTCAAACTTCCATCTTACACACAAATATGTACAATTCATATTAATTAGGTGTTTTATGAGATTTCTATGCTTGTGTAAGTACATAATTAACTATCTCGGGAGTAATACAGTGAGGATGATTGCAGTTTCGGTAACGCATTAGTTAGTCCGATTAACTTTCGCATCGTGTACGTATTGCAGGTTTATCTCATGCTTGGTGAAACGCTAGAAATCTCCTGAACATCGTTCGCCACGTTGTCGAGATTCGACGTTCAATCTTACCTCGGTTTCAGTATGTGCGCGTCAGCAATCAGCCCGCCGTCGTGCCGTCCGCCCCCGGCGCCGTTCCACCACTGCCGCCTTCTGTTTTCGCATCTCGGCTTGTCCGGCTGGGAGCAGCGTAGGAAATTACATTTGCTGGCGAAGAACGAGAAGCTGCTGCGCGAACTGCGCAACCTCGACAGCCAGCGGTCCAGGGAGACCCACAAGATAGCGGTGATCTACGTCAGCCAAGGTCAGGAAGACAAGAACTCCATACTAAGCAACGTCACTGCCAGTAAGGAGTACGAGAGCTTCATCGCGAGGCTCGCTTGGGAAGTGGAGCTGGAATCGCACACGGGTTTCCTTGGCGGCCTGGTGCCCGGGAAGGCGTCCGGCGTTACCGCGCCGTATTACGCCACGTCCTTCACCGAGATCCTCTTCCACGTCGCCACGAGGATGCCGTCGGACAGTCCCGAGAGTTTACTGCAAAAGGTACAATTCAATTACAGTCTTTCACGGCGTTCGCGCGACGTTCCCTCGGCGGGGGAGTTCTTCACGAAGCGCCTCGATTTCAGACGCGACATCTTGGCAACGATGAAATTCACATCGTCTGGTCGGAGCATTGGCGGGACTACCGCAGGGACATCATACCGACGGAGTTCTGCGACGTCCTGATAGTCATTTATCCGCTGCAAAACAAATTGTACCGGATACAGATCTCGCGGAAGTCGGAAATCCCGTTCTTCGGGCCGCTGTTCGACGAGTGCATCGTGGAGGACAAGGTGCTGCCGGGCCTGGTGAGAACCACCGCGTTAGCCGCGAGCAGAGCGAAGAGGTCCACGCTCACGTTGTATCAGCATTAGTGAGTAATCTGTTTACACAGTTTACATTGCGGAAGGTTAAGGCTGGATAAGTATAGTCGGCTTTTATTTGAGCGTATTTTAGACATACTTTTTCTCGCCAAGATGCGGCGAATAAGCGGGAGCCTTAACATTGCAAATATCAATTTCAGCTATGAGGAGAGGGCCCGATCCATAGACACTGTTATGAGAAATCACAAAGAAGCCACGACGTTCGAGGAGTTCACCGCTAATGTGTATTCACCGGTGCAACCGCCGAGCCCGTTCAGCGGGGCCTCGTCTGTTTCCGGTGGGTGAATTTGAACTTGACAAATTGAAATACCGTGAACTTGGCCAATCCTGCTTCCATATCCGGATGGAAGCGAGTGCCTTTTTAATTAAAAAGATTGTAAGGCTTAGTGTCATTTCCAGTGGCGCATCAAAGGAGCCACTCATAAATTTAATATTTTTTCGAGCAAATTACGTTTCTATAGGTTTATTCCGTTGCCTAAATAATAAATGTTGATTCGTAACAAAATTAACCCTTTGCACTCGAAGTTTTTTTTTCCATTCATATTACCAGCAACTCGAAGCAATTTCAGTGGAAAGTTCATATTCACATATAAGTAAATGATATGCGCGTTAAAAGAAAAGTCATTGTATGTTATTGTTTTTTTAATTTTGCTAATTTGTTAATAGTTGTTAACAGTTTGTTTTAAGTTTGAAGACAAATTTTAAACGGTTCCGCTCCGGAGCCCTCGAGTGCAAAGGGTTAAACATACACACACAATATTACACACAATGTAAGGCCGTTTGCGAAAGTTTATCGTCATCACCAACATGTGTGTATCGCACTGTGTCAGGATCTACAACAAGCGTGCAATCCACAGCATCGTCGAACCTCGCGGCGGCTCTTATAGATTCGCACCAGGGACGCTCCGGTCTGCGCAGCGTTTCGACAGCGAGCAGTGACAACCGTGCGAATAGAGGTGACTAATTCAGTCCACTAACCCCCACCCACCTTATAACACCACCGAACAAGGTAGTATTATTAGTTATTTATTATTTCCGTGCTGTTCTTCCAGCGTCTTATCTGACATTGTATCCTACGTCTCTTTATCTGTCTGTTGAGTAGACCTTAACCAACCGTCTCTGATTGCGATTCGGTGAACACGGTTCGTGAAACGTCTGCAAGAACTCGCAGATGAATGTGCTCTCGCGCGCGTGCGCAGAAGTGAATACTCCTCTTAAAGGAAATAAAAGAGGGAAAAGGGAAAATCACTAGTATACTGCGATTCTTCAACTTTTATATGTTGTTACACTCTGCGTGTGTGTGATAACAGTAACGTAAGATGCGAGATCGCAGGATATATAATACGGACACGGCGATCTACTCTCTCTCAAATCACTTTTCTTCCTTTTTTTTTTGTTTCTTTAACATTTCTATGTCTCTTAATTAACTTTTTGTTTGGCAGTCTTGCAAAATATATTCAGAGGTAATCTTTCCACTCTACGAGCACTATAAAGATAGCATGTCTTGATAATTCATTTTCCTCCCCTTACGTTTATTATATGTGTCTTATGCGTATGCTGTTCTTTCAATATCGCTTTGCAGAGGAACCTCCAGACGGGGAATGCCGATGCATACCCCGATGAAAATATATTTATATTTTATATTTTTGCCGAAAGCGTAGTGAAAATCTCTCTTAGTCGACCCAATTTTACTACTATCTCATCAATGTTTCAGTAAAAAAATTACCTTAATTGATGTTCCATCAATTTCTCCTTAAAAAGTCGCGCAGTTTTCAGTAATTTTCAGTTTAAGATTTTATGATATTTGATATTTAAGATTTTTTTTATTACTTTTCAAAAATATACTTCAACTTACCCTGTATTTCACGGTATTACATTATATTTCATAAGGAAAATTATGACCCATTTTTACATGCATTCAATAATTTTTCAATAACTTTCATTTCACTTTTCATCGATTTCATAATATTTTCAGCAAAATATTTCCATCGGGGTAGCCGCTGATATTCCCTTCGACCGCACGCTTACTTCTCTTGTCGATGTGTCTCCGCCTTTCTCACACTCGAGCATCTATTTTCTAGCCGACGACTTCTGCGTGGCTTTTTGATCAGCGATCTCACGAAATCACGGTACGGTGTAATGGTGTTTTCGCAATTGTTTCCAGTTTCTGACGGAAGCAGGGTGTGGTTTAGCAATGACACCCCCGAGAGTACCACTCTTCACGGCATTTCACCGAGACCCGTAAAAAAAATGTCCTTTAAAACTGGACCGAAACAGAGAGCTAACACGCAACCCACTCCTCCGGATAGTCCGAGATACAAATGAAAGGTTTCCTATTCCGTGCCGGGAAAACGCTCCGCACAACTGCTTGTGAATGGACTCACCGTGCGTTGTACTTTAAAGGCATTATCCGGGCGAGAGTTGTAGGCGAAACTACCGATGACGACTAGAGTACTCTATTCGTCGCGCGAATTAAGGATGTCGACGCGGTGCGGTTGATACTTTTGCCAACCGATAGATTTCATTCACAGTGGGGATTGAATATCTGATCGTAATCTTAGCGTTTTCTGTTCTCCGTCCTTAGATTTAATTTTTATATTACATGTACAGATCGTTGTTTATTTGTCGCAACGTGAATATTAATTTATTGCAAGGTGAATATACGATATAAATTCGTGAAACCATAGGTTACAGAATCATGGTGCATAAACTTCTCATAGAAGGGTTATCGGTGTCGAGAGAGAGAGAGAGAGAGAGAGAGAGAGAGAGAGAGAGAGAGAGAGAGATAGCTATTTACATTGTACAGCACTTTCTTAAAATTGTTTTATCGTAGTATTTATAGTATCAATAGTTTAAAAAAAATCATTATTCTGGACTAAAATTTCTATCTTAAATTATATATTGAAAGTAGCACATAGAAATATACTAACATCGTCAGAATGCTCCGCAGTACTACTGTATGGCCTTGTAACTGTTTTATTTGTCACAGTATATAGACATAGAGTAACTACTATTTTATTATTAATTGGCAGAAGATTAGTGCGGGAGAATTTACAATTAAATGTTATAGAGCTTGTTAGCTTGTATATTGAAGTCATGTCTCAGGCGTGGGACTAAGGTGAATTCGATAATTGCGTTAGCCTGATTTGAAGCGAGAAAATAGTGATTAGAATCGCAATTTAAATGGAGTCAGTGATCTACGGACACTTTCAGAAATAAAAAAAAGAAAAATACTTAAGTTGCACATTCCACGCGCGTACATCATCTTGTTCTTAATTTACATTTTATTTGTACTATTAATGAACTATCGAACCATTCCATTCGAATGTTATATTCGTAATTTTCGACAAAGGTGTCCATTCTTTTCTTTTTTTACTTTTTAATTTTTATTTTATTTTATTTTATTTTTTATTTTTTTTTCATTTGAATGTTTTGCAACGTGTCAATACAAAAACTTTTTCATTTTATTCGAGATAATTTAAAGAGATCGCAAACGGAATCGCCGAAGTGTTTTGTTTCCATACCAAAGTCGAAGGTGCTTAATGTTTTATAATATGGGCGAATTAAATATTTCGAATGAAACCACCAGAGGTGATTATCAAAGATTTAGTAAGTACCGGGAAGAACGAAAACACGGAAGGGAAAGGGGAAATTTGAAAGTAAATTTATTCCACACGTTGAGTAAGCAGTAAGTGGCTATTTACTTTATACAAATCATCCTAATGCAGTGATAATAATCAAAGTATTAATGTTATATCTAATATATTAACGAACGGCGGACTATAACACAGGATTAACATCGTGGTAACGACCGATACGGTATTCGAGATGAGATTTTTCTAGAGGTATACACTTGGCGCGATGATGAAACTCTGTGTATAATTAGAGTTTTTTGACCATTTTGAAGACTACCATGGAACACATTCAAAAGTGTAGGTATTAGCAACGAAGATGTAGTTTAATAATGATTACTGATGCGCAGATCATGGCCAAAGCAGCATTATTTTTTCACTAATTTATAATGAGGTAGAACAGTGAGAAGCAGTGTATGTATTGTATATAAATTGTTAAGCATACGAAGCGCGGCTCCGAGAAGTCATTTAAGATTATTCCGAATGTATGTCACGTTACATCGTCAGTAATATTACGTATTAGTTGAAACCGTACATACATACGCACACATACACACAGCAGCATATACGCATCGTACACATACATGCACGCACACACACATACACACACACACACACACAGCATATAACAAAAGTTCATTTATTATTATAACATGCAAGAATGCTTTTACTGATCGTATTTAAACGTTGTACTTAACCGAATACTTTTATTAGTATCGCTACCGCTATTACGCTATTATTTAACGTTCTGAAGTACGAATTGTTCTTTAATACTAGAACATTGTCGAAATACCTTTTTATATTGCGTTTAGTTTTGGTAGAGCCAGAGATTAGCGGATGCATAAGAGTAGTAAGGGACAAAGAAATTACGAGAATTTTTGTTTTTGCCGAGAGGAGAGAGCGAACTGGGATATGATCCTTTTCTCTTTGTCTTTTTTTTGTTTCCTTATCAAAAAGGGAAGAGTATTCGATAGAATAAGAGAAACCTAAAATAGTAGAATACTCGAACCTCAGAATTTAAATTCCTTTCTTCTTTTTTTTTTTGTACACAAGAATAAAGTCGTACTATATCTATCTGTGTGTAAAGATATTGCAAACATTTACATATATTGATATTTATGCGGAATAACCATGTAATAATCTTACGGCATTTCTCCATTTACAATGAAGTTAATTATTTCTGAGAGAATTAAAGCTAAGGCGTATATTTAAAATGTCGTCTTGCTATGCAGCGATTTCTGTAATTCTGTATTAAATATAAAACACAGAAGAAGAATCAATATACTAATATATATATTTATTATTTTCTACAGAAAGCTGCGAAGCACCTTTAAATGTATATTTATCCGATTATCTTTCTATCTATGTAATAATCACGTAATGTATAATAACTTCGTTGATACGCTCCGTTTTTTGAAGAGAGCAATTATATATTTTATTCGATAATTGTATAATTCAACACACGAGAAATGCAAGGATCCGTGGGAGGATTTGAGTTTTTGCGTCAGACAGTTACGTGTGTATGGCAGTAATATGTTCATACAAATATTCTCGACACGGAATATCGACGATTCGTTCTTGCACAAATTCCACCACATAATTAACTATTCCAACTTTAACGACTTTATACGCGGTACAGCAATCAGTCGCGTTGGCTTCGATATCTGTACAGCGTTCTCAAAGGTGTTCAAGAAAATATTATTCTTCTGCCACAGAAATTTGTTGTCCAAAGATATCTCTCTCTGCTATTAACATTAATTGTACACACATCTCTGTAATGGACTGTACATTTTACTGCACAATAAAATTGTGATGAATTACGGCGAAAGTAACAACATTTACTTTCATCTCCTTCGATTTTATATCAACGTCCTTCGACATTCTCCGATTCCCACACGCATATACAAGTTTAAACGCCGATTCGGCGGCATTTTGAGTGGGGGATTTTCAATGGGAAAGATGCTTTTCTTCTCTCTCGATGGATCCGCCGACAGTTCATCGGAGAGGAGACACGAGCATATGAAAATATTTTGGTTCTACCGAGGAGGCGAACCCGGCAACCTCTAAGTATAGAACAGATCTAGTATAATAGACGCTGTCTGCTTGACACCACGCACGTGCTTACATTTAATTTCATTACGGGATATGTAATTAGGAAATAAATTAAGGAATAAGAAGTAAGACAATTTTAAACTTTATGGCTCGGTCTTACAACGTTGACGACTTTTATGTTGTTCGTATTACACGCCTTACTGATGCTTTCATCACGCATGCGCAAACCTAAGACAAGGTTAGCTTCGTTGTTAACCTCCAAGGGAAGCGTCACAGGAATTGTTATATCTTGTAAAAATTATTAAAGGATATCTGTTTAATTTATCGAAAGACCACGTGTCATTTCTATAATGTTAGAACGTAAAGATGACGAAGGGAACTTATATGTATTCGTAAGTGTAATATATAAAAATTATTCACGCGCATATGTAAAGTTAGCAAAGCTGTAACATACATAGTATTATAACTTCTATTAATTAGAATGAAGAGGATTTGCCATACGAAGAAGAAATTCTACGAAACCCATACTCTGTGAAACATTGGCAACGTTACATTGATCATCTGAAAAATGCAAAAAGTAAGAATTTAAACGTGGTCTATGAACGAGCATTGAAGGAACTTCCAGGCAGGTAAAACAATTTTCTTCTACGTATTTTTATAAATTCTTATAATTCTTATATACATGCAACAGTTTTTAAGAATTACATGTTTTTTTAATGCAGTTACAAGCTGTGGTACAATTATCTTCGACAACGTGTGAGTCAGTTAAAGGGTCGGTGCATAACGGATCCATTGTACGAAGATGTTAATAATGCATTTGAACGTGCTTTGGTGTTTATGCATAAAATGCCACGTATATGGATGGACTACTGTACATTGATGACCGAACAATGCTACATAACACGAACACGCCAAGTATTTGATCGTTCACTCAGAGCACTTCCTATCACACAGCATCACCGTATATGGCCGTTGTATATTAATTTCTTAAAGAAACACAATGTCTATGAGACTGCAGTCCGAGTTTTTAGGAGATACTTAAAGGTAATAACTTATTTCTAATTCTTCATTTATGTTAGTATTGCTTGTTACTGTACTGCTTTTCATTTTCCTTCTTACATTCGTAATCAATATGAAAATAAATATTTAAAAGAATTCACCCTAAAGAAAATTTCTTTATACATATTTTATCCTATTTTTGTGTTACATATATGTAGTTGGCTCCAGAGGATACAGAAGAATATATAGAATATCTGATATCTATTAAAAGACTTGACGAGGGTGCTGTAAAACTCGCACAGATTGTCAACCAGGATGACTTTGTGTCGAAGCATGGAAAATCGAATCATCAATTATGGAATGAATTATGTGACTTAATATCTAAAAATCCTTCCAAAATAAAGTCCCTTAATGTAGATGCGATTATCAGAGGTGGTTTAAGACGTTACACGGATCAGCTGGGACCTTTGTGGAATTCACTAGCAGATTACTATGTTCGAAGTGGTCTTTTCGAGAGGGTATCACCAGCTTTATATTTTTATTTAATTAATGCTTTCTATTTTATAATGTAAGTTATCAAAATGACACACATATATATATATATAACGTTTTTTTCTAGGCAAGAGATATTTATGAAGAAGCTATACAGACTGTAACTACTGTTAGAGATTTCACGCAAGTTTTTGATGCTTATGCACAGTTTGAGGAACTTAGTCTTAAAAAGCTCATAGAAGAAGCTGCGACGAATCCTACCGAAGATGGTATGCTAATATAATACATATAAGATTTTACATACCAATATAATTTTGCCTTATTAAAAGTGACGCATTATTCTTTAATTACACGTTTCGACACTAGATGATATAGAATTAGAATTGAGATTGGCGCGGCTGGAACATCTCATGGAAAGAAGATTATTGTTACTTAATTCCGTATTATTGCGACAAAACCCACACAATGTAGCAGAATGGCATAAGAGAATTAAGCTTTATGAAGGACAACCACATGAGGTAAAAAGATATTAGGAATTTATACGTGAATCTGTGATCATTGTTAATTAATACTTTTTCCTCTTGTAGATAATTAATACATACACAGAAGCAGTACAGACAGTGCAACCACAGCTGGCAGTCGGTAAATTACATACATTGTGGGTCGCTTTTGGCAAATTTTATGAGGAAAACGGTCAAATAGCAGATGCTAGAGTAGTATTTGAGAAGGCAACTCATGTTCCATACACCAAAGTGGACGATCTTGCCTCGGTATGGTGCGAATGGGCAGAAATGGAAATTAGACATGGGTAAGTTGATTTACAACGTAGAAGCCAAATGTTACTATATAAGTAAAAAAACGAGGTAATTTAATATATAAATAAAATATCTCGATAATAATATCTCTAAATGTTCTCTATCGTCTCATGGAAGAAACTGTAAGGAAGCTTTAAAGCTCATGCATCGTGCTACTACAATGCCAGCTAGGAAGGTGGCTTATCATGATGAAACAGAGACGGTGCAAATGAGATTGTACAAATCCTTAAAAGTGTGGTCTATGTATGCAGACTTGGAAGAAAGTTTTGGAACATTTAAGGTAAGGTGTATCATTGCACTTTCTTCACTTATGTAGTTTATATTGCATTTCTCAGTGCCTTCAATTTCATATGTATTTATCATGACAGACCTGCAAAGCAGTATATGACAAAATAATCGATCTGAAAATCGCAACTCCTCAAATTATTATTAACTACGGACTGTTCCTGGAGGAAAATAATTATTTTGAAGAAGCATTTAGGGTATGTATGTGTGTAGGTGGAATATTTTTCATTGATTATATTCACATCTGTCAACCCTGTCAATAGAGTATTATACGAAATCCATTTTCAGGCATACGAGAAAGGAATTGCATTGTTCAAATGGCCTAATGTTTATGACATTTGGAATACGTACCTCACGAAATTTTTAAAACGTTACGGCGGTACAAAATTAGAACGTACCAGGGATCTATTTGAACAATGTTTAGAACATTGCCCACCGAAGTACGCCAAAGGTACAACTTATTATACATATTATCTCATATAAATGCAACAAGAAAATAACTAAATTCTACGTATTGCAGCTCTGTATCTGTTATATGCAAAGTTGGAAGAAGAACATGGCTTAGCGAGACATGCTATGTCTGTATACGAGCGGGCAACAAATGCTGTTCTTCCGGAGGAAAGATTTGATGTAATATTATATTTTTCTCTTGCTGCAAATACTTTATACGATAATTTTAGAATAGCAAATTTTCCTAAAAACAGTACTCATATTTATATATGCTTTAATTATAAAATTATAAAATATTAATTAATTATAAAATATAAGATACACTTGATATTTATATGATTTCCCGAATGGATTCGAGACTTTAGGAGATCTAAAAATCAATTTCTCAATTTTCAGATGTTCAATATATATATAAAGAAAGCAGCGGACATTTATGGGGTACCAAAAACTCGTCAAATATACGAGAAAGCCATAGAAGTTTTAAATGATGAAAATACTAGGGAAATGTGTTTGAGATTCGCGGAAATGGAGACGAAATTAGGAGAAGTGGATAGAGCAAGAGGGATATATGCATATTGTAGTCAAATATGCGATCCAAGGGTAAAATATCGTGTTTATAATATATCCTGTAATTCATACCTTGCACTATGATATATATATACTCACTTGTACGTTGAATTAATTTTAGGTTACATCGAACTTCTGGCAAGTTTGGAAGGAATTTGAAGTTAGGCATGGGAACGAGGACACAATGCGCGAGATGCTTCGAATTAAGCGTAGTGTGCAGGCTATGTACAATACTCAAGTGAATATGATGTCTGCGCAAATGTTGAACAATGCATCCAGTCAAGTATCGGATGTCCCAGTTGATGCTATGCGCTTGCTAGACAGTAAAATTCCGTCGAATGCAGGTAATCGAAATTAACGCTAACTCTCTTCTGCTTCATATGAATGTGAATTTTTTTCTTTAAAAAAAAAAGAGGAATCTTATTACGTTTTATCTTAAAAATATCTTAAATTACAGATAATGCAAGCAGTTCTAAGGGAAGTATCAAGTTTGTGCGCGGTGTGACAGAGAAGGACGGTAAACCAGAGTCTCACGTAAATAATCCGGACGAGATCGATATTGACATGGACGACGAAGATGAAAATGATGCAGAAGTAGACGAAGGTAGTAATATATTTATAAAGAAATTAAAATGTTAAATTTTATTATCATTTTTCTGAATTAAAATTTTTTTTAATATAAAAAGAACAAAAGTAGGCAATATTTTATTACTTGCACCTCTGAATCTCAATTTTAATTCCGACTCCATATTCAATCAACAGTTTAACACTGGAATTTAACACCTCACATGTTTCGAGTATACGTTTTAATATAATGCCTTGTTTATTTTTAGACATACCAATTGAGAAACAAACTGTACCATCACAAGTATTTGGTAGTTTAAAAGCAGCCGAAGTTGAAGACGATTGAAAACTTCATATAGGATGGATAACATTAATAAAATTGTACAAAATGTGTGTAGCAACTATATATAATGTCTATAATAAATCTTATACATAAAATATACATATAATATTGTATCATAATATATAATCTTATACATAAAATATTGTATCAATTGCAATTTTCAAATTTCGTAACATATTTGTAGAAATACGTGCACTTATCATTTCTGAAAGTACAATCGTATAAATATCGATATTTAATTATGGGTATATCGAACTTGCAGAATTCAAAAGCAGTAAGGCTTATATATATATATATCAATAAATAACAATGTATGTGAATATAGTACACTCTAAACAAGATCAGTTTATATATTTTGTGTTGTGCAGAATCGTTGTAATATTAAATATGTAACTCAGATATATTTTATAACAATCTAAATTCATTATTTTTAAATTATTTTATAACAAACGTATGTTTACAATTAACGTGCATTTTTTTATATCAATTTCAATTAATTCTATTTTAACATTGTATAAAACTTATGTGATAATACAACTATTCTCTTTTCGGGACGTTTGGTGTGAAGATAACGGAAAATAACGATAATGTATTGTGAATGAAATTTTGATAGTGCTACTTAATTATTTATTCATATTAAATATCATACCGAGGTGGATTTATAAAATGGAGGTCATTGTATACTTCATCTTTTGGAAGGTTCCAATCCATTGTCGTTTGTTGCTTACGAAGACCACCGAAGACTATTAACTCACCTTTTCCTGCCACAAGAGAATATAAGATCCTCTCATCAGGACCCGAGTAGTTGTCCTGCTTCAAGGGAATCCACGAAGCACTGCAGTCTTCAAGAACTTTCGTAATATCTAACACGAATATAGATAATGTGTTTTCAGTTTTTTTCGCCGGTTTCGCTTGTGCCTTCTTATTCTTAATTTTCTCCTCCATTTTCCTCAACAATTCCAATTGACGTTGCCTAAACGTGTTTGAATTACTATGCAGAGGTGGATCACGGAATGCGGCCATGCTTAAAAAATTGTCACTATACAACGACATCGGTTTTGAGAAAATAGACATGTGTGATGAAGTGTGTGCACTTTGCAAGTGTGACCTGGAGAATGCTCCGTGCCGTCCATTTACGTTTTCGTCCCTATCCGGGGTGGACACATTTTCCGGCCTGAGAAAAACATCCGATTAATAATATTGCGAAATATTTCCCCATTGATTATCAATGCAGCAGAATGATTGTATAAATCTTAATAATAACAGTATAATAAGATTGTGCGATACTTATAGATACCAACCTCCTGAATAAAGGATTGGATTCGCAATGCGACGGAGCACACAGAGAGCTTTGACAAGCAGTCTTTTTTAACGAAATACTCATATCATTAGATTTGGCCTTGCGTTTATTTTTGCTCAGTACAACAACATAATTTCCCACCTACACAAATGATAGTATTAAGTACATATTGATCTGACATACATCAATAGCGAATTTATAGCTTATACTAATATTTTTAAGATTGAGGAAATCATGTAACTGAAATGACTTGCGCTTACATTCAAGAATATTTTCCACGCACGAATGTTACAGGAGGATAAACGTTTTACTTTGACACTACCTTACAAGCTTGATGACACCAGATACGCGTTGGTGCCCATTCTGTATTGCACATAGTAACCTTCTTCCATATCCACAATGGTCCTTCCATCTCCAATAACCAGGCATCGTTCATAGGAGCATTTGGTCCTGTGCAGCCTCCTGACAATGTCATACATATATAATCATTTAGTTAAACGTATATTTAACTGTCTAAATATTGATAAACAGAGATTCAAATTCAGTATTATTTTCTAATTGAATACATACTTGAATGCAGATTAGTCTCACACGCACACACATTAGAAGTCACAAACTTCCTCCAAACTTACACTACGGATTAAATTAGAAAGATCTCTTGTGAGCGACTGAAAGTGTCTCACCAAGAATAAGCAGATGCTTGTCTCCGAGTTCAATTTGAGATTGTCCATAACGCGGTTCTGGCCGAAGATAATCTCCCGACGCAAATTGCTTTTGCCAACGATACGAATCCAAATTGAAGCACCATATATCGTTGGAACTGATTGCAAAATAATACAAGCAACGTTAAGAGAAATGTACGCATAGGACGCCAATGTCTAACGTCTGTAACTTTACAGAAATATACCTCTCTCCGTCGCATACACCACCAAATACGACCATTTTATTCCCATGTATTGATGCAGAATGTGCGGACGTTGGTGGTGGGGTTAATAATGTATCTATAGTAGTCCATTTATTTGATTCTATAGAGTATATGTGTAATTCATTAAATAATCTCCATTGCTGAAAATACATACAAATAAGTTGAATTAACATCAATTTTTCATACAATATTTACTCATTTTTACTTAAACAAAGTTTAAATGTATTTAACTCTAATCAACATTTTTGTAAATAAAGTATCAGAAATCAGTGATATAAATTCAGAAATAAACGTTTGATATTTCAAGTGTAATTATATCAGGTGAAAGAATTTTATGTTATTTTCATGGAATTACCTGATGTAGAGGATACGGCAATGGATAGGACCAGCCACCAAACAAAATAAAGCTCTTCTGATAATAAAGCATAGTCGCGCAAGCTTTAGGCGACGGATAGCTACCCAGGCTGACTGGCCTCACCCATGTTCTTGTATCTAGATCTAACCGCCACAGATCGTTGAATGTTGTCCAAGTGGATGAACAGCCACCAAACACATACATAGAATTATTGTATATACATGCTGAATGTGAATGTCTCTTGCCAATTGTAGGTGCCCAGTGTACAGATGGCAACGAATTCCACAACAAGGATCCAACAGCCACAGATCTTTGAAAATGTGCTTCGCTGCGCGCTATGACAACTTTTGACAAGACACAAATAAATCAGAATCACCGAGGAACCCACTGTGTAATCTAATATGCATATCTACTTTTTACTACGTAAAGCAGTAAATATAATTATAAAAACATAAACATGTAGAGTAAAAATGAAGGAAACAGCACGCATACCTTCCGTGGTACGTTTCCATCTTCTACATACAGACTTGCAGGCCTCGAGGGTTTTGTAAGGCGGCACCAGGCTCAAAATATATTCCAACAGTTCGTCGGGCAGGTCGTCGATTTTGCACTGCATCTTGCATCAAGTAAGAATCACGAGCGAGGTTATGCTTCGCCCGAAGAACACAAATTGACTCATATTTTGTACAAAACCACACTCTGATAACAAGGTCTCTCTATCTCCCCATGAAGATCAAGTTCATTTCTAAAAATTTAATAGTCACAGATGCGCCGCCGCTTTGTACTTTCTGTGCAACTTGAAGAAATATGCTTTCAGGTTACTTTCCTATTTGGACGACATGAGAATTCTGGAATATTGGAAAAAGTTAGCAGCACTGCTTTTCCGTTTGCATAAATATATATATATATATATATATATATATATATGTCTTCTGTTCGTAATGGCTATATATTTCTTAACGCAGGACTTGTGTTAGACGCGTTTCAGAGCACTATATCCATATAATGTCATAAATGTCATCAAACTCAGTATAGAAACAAACGTTTCGAAGCATTTGCAACGTTAAATATGCACCTGGCATGCAATGGTATACTGCATTCGGCGAACACAGCAGATGAATAATCGACTTTTGGACGATGGATGTGATTGGCAGATCTAGAAGTATGCACCAATCACAGATAAGTGTAACACAATGGTTGTATACTCTCGGACAAAAGATTGTCCGACTTTTTCTAATAAATTGCGGAACGCATCTGTCTTGTCCAATGAGTGAATTTGCTTTCCAATGGGAAAATTTCAACAGGCTGTAATCGCATGCAATATTATATATTTTCTGTTTAAAAGATAAATATTAACAATATTTAACATCAAGTGTTGTTGACTAATTTAACCTAATTAAACCTTACAGCTAATTTAATATATTAAAATACATTTTTAATAATGTAGCTGTGCATCAATCCAAGGTGTTATGCTTTACCTTATTTGTATATGTGAATATTTCTAAAAATTATGCAGCTGATAACGCTCTTAGCGGTATTAATGTGTGTGGGAGTGAGAAATATTGAGATAAATCCATTGAAAACAATAATCTGGGGCCCAGGATTAAAGCCAGCAGAAATTACCTTGCGTGCAAGATATATCTTTCTCCAACTAGTTGATTCACATGAAAGAAAGTTAGTTTAGAACAATCAGTGGTTTAATTATATATAATACAAACGTATATAATTTAATAACACACTTTTTTAGTGAATTAAATAATAATTATATAAAAAAAAAATTAATTACAAATGATATTTTTCTAAAAATTGGTTATAAATATATTCAATCAATATTTTTGTGATTTATGTGGCATGTTATATGTTACCAAATATATTCTAGCTTGACGAAATCTCCTGGTGAAAATATAGTCACTGGGACAGTACAAGGACAATCATTTGATGGCTCAGCGTGTCGTATTTGGACTCAACTTTTTGACTGCAAAGATGGAAGTTTTATTCTACGCTATAAAGTCTTCAATACCTGTTCGAGCATTAAGATCAAAGTGAAGATTAAGGGAATGGAACTACCCATATTTCAATCAGAGATCAAAGGTATATGTTTACTTATTTCTTCACGTAAAATCTAAAAAATACTTAAAAATAACACAAAAGAAATATCTTTCAGGTCCTGTTTATGAAGAAGAATGTTACTGCCCGAATCTATCGATCGCTAATTGGCTGGACAGTTATCAATGCCAACGAAATTACACCCAAATGCATCGTGATCTCGCTCCATTTCCAAGTGTTGACTTTGACAAAATACGTGAAAATATCATTAAGAGATACGATCAGCCGACCAGTGTCAGCATTTGCCATTACGTACTAAAAACCAACCGAGTAATTATGTCATACCCCATAAATACGTAATTCTATATTTATATATTTATAAATCTGAATTGGAACTAGAGAGACTAAATTAGATTTATAGGCAATGTTACGGCCAGTATGTTGGCTTTAAGATATTTATGGATGCTATATTGTTGTCGCTCGCGCGCAAAGTAGTATTGCCAGATATTGAATTCTTTGTGAATCTGGGTGACTGGCCGCTTGTCCCCGATAAGGGCCCTCTGTACCCCGTTTTCTCATGGTGCGGGTCCGAAGATACAAGTGACATCGTCATGCCTACATATGATATCACCCAATCATCCTTGGAAGCGATGGGAAGGTATAACATACGCATTTACAACTTTATATGAACGTAACATAAACAAAAGTAATTTGCAATATTTCACGCTTGTACAGGGAAATGCTAGACACACTCTCAGTGCAAGGTAACACTGATCTGCCATGGGAGAACAAGACTGAGCAGTTATTTTGGCGCGGACGTGACTCCAGGAGGGAGCGCCTTGATTTAATCGACATTTCACGAGAACATCCGGAACTTTTCAATGTCTCTATCACAAATTTCTTCTTCTTTAAAGATAAAATTGATAAGTACGGACCCGGGCAAAGTCACGTGTCGTTCTTCAACTTTTTCAAGGTAAACGTAAAAAAAGAAGTGGAATTTTTCTCACGAAAATCGAAAGTTCAGCAGTGCCTCCTCATAATTAATTACGCTCTTAGGACTAACTGCATCATGTCGGTTGAATTCTCTCCTACGGTTGTAAATGCATGAAGCATGAGTAACTTCGAAATTTACATCGTGAGGAAAGAAAGAGCAATGCCAAAATCGAGATGTAACTGCGTCGATGTGGTCTCATATTGATTCTGTATATTTTTTCTTTTTATAGTACAAATATCTGCTGAATATCGATGGCACAGTAGCAGCGTATCGATTCCCGTATTTGCTCGCTGGAGATTCTCTGGTGCTCAAGCAAGAGTCCAAGTATTACGAATTTTTCTACAAGGATCTTACACCCGGGATACATTATGTGCCTGTGAAAAGCGATCTCTCGGATCTGGTTGACAAGATTCATTGGGCAAAGGAACACGACGAGGATGGATTGAAGATTGCTAAATCCGCCAGACAATTTGCGAGGGATAATTTATTACCACGTGATATATTGTGTTACTATACAATTTTATTTCACGTATGAGAAAGCCCTATTTTCTTATATATTCTTCTCGGATATTATTCGCCAAATGATATAATCTTTACATTTCAGGAATGGAGAAAACGTTTAAGGAGTAAAGTTGAAGTACTGAATAACATGGAAGAAGTACCACAACCTAGTCATTCCTGTCGGTGTCACCTTATTACCACCAATTTAAACCACAGAGATGAATTGTAGTTTAACATCCTCTTGTTTACATCCTCCTATAACTTACTAATACAGCGAAGATCTAACCGACTCACATCATCGTCATACGAGTATCACGTGTATCATAAATGTATAAAGATACATATTTCTTCATTAAGATTTTGTACCTATCGCTAATGTCAAAAATAAAAAGGGAGATATGAGCTCGAACTTGAAACAGGCGGTCTTCTAATATTCGATAGATTTTTTCTTTTTTTCTTTTTCTTTTTTTATGATGCACTTGTATAACCTGCCTTTTTTTTTAGCTATTTTTATATACCATTTAATAGTTTTCATTTATTTAATCTAAAAACATATCAAGATCTCGAACAAGATACATCATTTGTACAATTATCAACATCTCCTTCGAAAAATATTTATGGGATTAATATGTAACATGGAGAAATTTATATTCACATTCGTATTTTGTATCGCGATTTACCAAATTAAATTTCACTACAATATGCAAATAAAATTGAGACAAACATTCACGTTTGTGTAATCAGCATCATAGTCCTATTATATGCTCTATAAAGACAAACTTTATCAGTAGTTAAACACAGCTCTTGCGAGAAATGAATTCGATGCGAAACGGAATGACAAATAAAAGTCCTACCGCAAATTTCGCATATAGATAACCGACTACCGGCTGTGTCGTCTATACTATCGTTTTTATGTACTTGGCGTCTTGGCTAATATCTGTCGCTTAATATCCTCTCCGGATGGCAATATCAAATAACCGATAACGAAGTTTAAATTATAAAAATGATGTCTGGATACAATAACGTACGCGTATGGCAATTAAACTATAATTTTATGAACTTCGAGTCGCAATCGATAGCGTTTGTGTACGGTCTCCCATCGAGCGACGTGTCCACGTGGCAAACCCACGCCAAACTACGGAGTGAAACCTTTCACCGAAGAATTTCTCGGATCGAATATGAATAAGCTGTGTGGCCTTTGTTATTCTCCAATTGGCAATCCGAGGAATTTAATTTATCCAACGGTGGAACAACATTTGCAGGAACTAAATTTGACCATAATTGGCACTTACAAGTGACTGTATCGATCGACTCACCGACGGGAGGTCGCAATAATTAACGCGCTGAATTCTAATACGTTGAGTGGATTTTTAACACAACGCCACAAATGTTTCTATTTTGAAGGTAATACGTGAGTTCTCTCTGTGTTTGTTTATTTTGTGTGTGTGTGTGTGTGGGCGCGCGCGGATGTGTGAAAAAAATATTCGACGTGTGACAATTCTACAATTTCCGTTTACTTTGACTATATTCTAAAGTCTCTTTAATCGATAAAAGTTCCTTAACACGTTGAGCGCGGCGCCGATTTTGCTATCCTTTCCGCTCAGGCGGCAGCGAGCGAGCACTTGATGCTCAAGAAATTTTTGAGATAGAGAGTATGAACAGAAGATTACTTTGTTTCAATTTATTGTGGGATGGTGCAGCCAATGCGTAAGTATACAAATTATAAACAGAAGATAATGGGAAGGGGAATGGCAAGAAGGTGACCTCCAAGAGACGAGCAATCTTATTGTAATATGTGCATCCACACCTCATCCACACCTTTGCTTAAAATGTTTTAATAAACTCCATTAAAATTATAAATTAATTTTTTAACCCTTGACAATGCCGGTTTCACGCACCAATGTCGCCCAAACGAAAAGTCTACTGTCAATCCCGAGGGACTGACGTCGCACTCAACGTGTTCAATATGGCTCCTCAGCCAATCAGGTGGTTTCTAAGCCATTTAGGAGCATTTTTATCAATGAAAGAGTTCAGAATACGAGCTTTTAGTTATAAACTAATAAAAATATTGACGTATGTATTCATAATAAAAATAAAATTCAAAATTTACCATTCTCCTGCATATGTAAATTATAAAATATAAAAAATTACAAAGCGTAATAATAAATCTGTGATAAATATGTATATTAATATATATATATATATATAATATGTGTATATACGGATAATATATAAAACAAATCAGACAAAGACTCTAGATAAGATATATTATCTAGAAAAACATAATAAATTATCGATTTTTTTTTTTTATATTGTACGTACGTTCTTCACGCATTACGAGTTTTGCCGTAGGAGTTAAAAGCCATTCTGGATATTTGGCATACTCATTTCACCGAAATTTAATAATACAACTAATGTAATATAAAAAAAGAACAATCCCCAAGTAATCTACCAAACTAGTATATACGTATATAATGCAAAATACGATATTATGTATTACTACGCATTAACATACTAAAATACATATGTTAATATTAAAAGCTGTCAAGAAAAAAAAAAACAAACAAACAAAACAAAACTCAATCCTATAAAAATTCGAGTCTTCTTTTACAGCAACTTCCACGGGTTATGTATAATTTTGTCCTAAGCCTTTTAGTACTATTTTAGGCAATGCATAAAAAAAAAAAAGGAACAAGATAAAATTATCTTCAAATAATCATTTTCATAGAGAGAAACTAACGAAGAACTAACGAACTATTAATATTAATGTGAATAATGCAAGAATTTATATTACTATACTTTATTGTGTGGGTGGTTGATAACCATAACCACCATATTGATTTGGTGGGGGTGGTCCTTGCGGTCCAGGTGGCGGAGGCATGTGTCCACCCGGTGGACGCGGAGGATATTGCGGATATCCTTGTCCTGCTGGCGGTGGAGGATAACTTTGGGGAGGATACTGCGGATGTCCATAGTGTTGTCCTCCTTGTGGTGGATGAGGAGTATAAATCTACAATTCAGAATACGTGTCTCTCAATTACGAATACACAAATGACAAATTTCGTGTGTAAATACAATATTTAGTTATCCCCCCTCCCCCCTCTCTCCATCTCTTTCTCTCCCATATACAAGTTTCACGAAATAGAAGCGTTTAATGTCATACACACATCAATATCCAAATTATGAATCTGCTCCATAAAAAGAACAAGTTATTTTGCGAAGAATTGTAAATACAGTTACATCGGCCGCAGAGAAAGCAGCCTTACGACTGGTTGTAAGATCCGTGAATCCGATTGGCTCTCTCCGATTCAACCACGATTCAGAGCACACACCAATCAGCACGGCGAATTTCTCCAACAGTTGCAGGGCACTGTTTTCTCCGCTGAACGCGGCTATCGTACAGCAGGTCGAGAGACACCGTCGACCGACGATTATTAATTCTGAACGTTGCTTATACAAGCCGAAAAGAATACATGCGCGAAGAATACCTGTGGTTGTCCTCCTGGTGTCGGCGGAACGTACGTTTGCGTCGTAGTGGGTCCATACGTAGGCTGCTGCTGAGGGCCGGGAGGCGGGGCGGGACCCTGCGGGGGACCGGAGGGCGGCTGGAATCCGCTAGGGGCCGAAGTCTGAGACGGCTGCTGTTGCGTCTGCGGAGCTGTTTGCGACTGTTGCTGAGACTGTTGCGGCGGCTGATGGGGCGGTTGATGTGAGGTCGGTTGATGAGACGTCTGGTGCGACGGTTGATGGGGTGGCTGATGCGGGGGGTGCGGCGGCTGATGGGGTGACTGGTGCGGCGGCGGATGCGGCGGGTGGGACGTCGGATGGGATGTCTGATGAACGGGATAACCGGAGGGAGCCGGTACCGGGGGAGCGTAGCTCCCACCCTGCGACGTTGGCGGCGGGCCGCTACTCGGCGGGTACGTCTGCGTCGAGGCGGACGGCGTGCTCGTCGGCTGACTGCTCTGGGCGTAAGTATTACCGCCGCTCGCGGAGGAGGTGCTAAATGGCGGAGACGTAGACGCAGGGCCGTATTGCGTCGCGCCGGGGCCCGGGCTCGGCTGGCTAACATAGTTAGGCTGCGGGCCCGCGTTCTGCTGCGAGCCGGGCTGAGGGGGTTGAGTCGCGCTGGTTGTCGGAGGCGGTGGATAATTTTGCGGCGGGACATTGTTCGCGTACGCCTGGGAGGAGGGTGGGGGGTAACTTCCGGGTTGCCCAGCGGCATACGCGTTTTGAGGTGGCGCTTGGGACGGAGGCTGCTGATAATTCGGTTGCGGACTAGGGCTGCCGTACTGTCCCGGTTGTTGTTGTTGACTACCTGATGAGAAATTCTGCTGCGAAGCATTCGACGGCGGATAGCCCTGCTGATTCGGCGGCGGCGGCCCGTATCCGGAAGGCGGCTGCGTCGTGCCCGGGGGTGGATAGCCGCCTGGCTGCGGGCCGTAGCTGTTCACCGTGGTCGGAGGGCCGTAATTTGGCTGGCTCGCTGCGGTGTATCCCTGTTGTTGAGACGAATTCGGGGGTCCGTATTGGTTGGGCTGGCCGGGAGTGTACGCGGATCCTTGCGGCCCTTGATAATTCGATCCTGGATTCTGATTAGTGTACTGAGCGGGATATCCTTGCTGAGAAGGCTGTTGCGGGTATCCTTGCGGACTTCTGTACTGCTGCGGACCTGGAGCAGCCGGAGGCCCTGCGAACGTCAACGGATTACAATAGCAAACATGCATAAAGTGCTGTCTAATCGCGAGTTAAGAATACAATTTTACGTCAGAGTGCACGATTATAATTTGCGTTGGGCTAAATTTGAAGTAGAATATCAATTAAAATTCCGGACGGCAGGTTATTTGAATAACGAGTGTAAAGATGATGTATAAAACATACTTTGACAAATGAACATACGATTAATGGTAGGTCCTTGTCCAGGCATCACAGGTCCACGATAAGTACCTTGTGCCATCGGTTGGCCTTGATTAAAGGTTGACATTGGCATAGGTGGCTGTGTATTCGGAGGCATATCTCCTCCAGGGCCAGTTGTACCTCCTGGACCACTTGGGAGCCCTTGAGGGTTCATCATGGCGTGCTGAGGACCATTGGGGATACCTTGAGGTGGCTTAAAAGAAGAAGAAGCAGTTAAGAATCTTATAATTGTTTATCAAGTTTCAACTGTGTTTTTCTGTCTTCACTACATATATTAGAAGATTGCTTACAGGTAGTAAGGCTTGAATATTTTGGTTTGCATCTGCGATAGTCGCTAAATACACCAAGTTGCGATGCAACATCTGTTGATATCTGAAAATTTAATTTAATTTAATTTAATTTAGTGGGACGTCAGAAGTGATAAATACCTCTGATGTCAAGAACAATCCTGTCTGATACTGTATTATGTAACACATCTTGGTGATGGAGAAAAATTGCAGGACAAAACATAAACACCAGTCACTTACTGTATACATTCTTGCGCCTTGCCTTTGTTCTGGTACTCTTGTATTGTTTGTATGAGTTGACTATTCTCATCCAGCATCTACATAAACGTACAAATACATATGGACGATCGCAAGCTCTAAGATTACAGGCGTATTTATCGTCATTATTTCAGCCATCGGTGACAAGGTTATCACTCCTTTTTTTTTTCAAGTTACAACCGTTACTTTACAACCTTACCTTTTGTATTTGAGCAGTATTCGGAGGTGGCCTGCCGCGCTGTGCGAAAGTCACAGACATTTTTGGAAGCGAATCACAAGTTGTTTCGCCGAGTGAACGAAACGTCGATGAACGAAAAACCACTTCTTTCACGTCGCTATCGCGAAGAGTTAGCAAGGAAAAGCCGCCTTAAGAGATACTACATCCACTTTTATCGCGTCTTCGCGACATGTACTATCGAAACGTCGATCATCCACAAGAAGCGGGACTCATTCGCGCGGGACTAAGGAGGATCACGAGGACCTCTTCAACTTGCACATCTACGCGTTACCCAACAACAAACCACCCGCCGTACGGGTCTCGTGCACAGCTCGTACTTGTAATAATGCGGCTGACGCGTGCGACAATTATCGGCAATTACCTTGCGAAGTGTACAGTTTCGCAAACGAGGGGATGGTGTCGGACCGTTTCCGAAATAGAAGGCTTGGTAAGGTAGCGTCACCGACGACGAATGCGCGAACTCGCGCGTCTTCCGTTTAATGGCGGCTTCACAATAGGTCTGTCGCGTTGCTTGCACTTCTGATACTTTTACACCTTTAATGGCCGTTGTACATTAGCATCTTTAAACAGAAGAGCTGTCATTGGATATTGTTCGTTGTATCCGGTAACAGGTATTAGGTGCATAAGTGTCAAAAGTGCAAGCTATGCGAGCAGACATAATGACACGCGAAAATTTCCACGTACGAAAATCCCACTCGACGATAAAGTGGCATTTAATTAACCAATCGTGATAAAGAAATCTTTGCTCCTTTTGGTTCTGATTGGTCAATTAATAATAACACCACTCTACCAATCAAGTAGAATTCCTAGACGCACTATGTGCGAATATTCACGCATCATGACGGTGAATTATTCGGTGAATCGGCAAAATTGTCCCAAAGAAGCGGTTATGATGCGGAGCATTCAAAAATAATAATAATAATGCTACCGATTGGAAGTTTTCAATGTTACTATGCCTAGGGAATGGAAGTGTATTAAAGAAGTTTCCCGTGATCTTGCTAATAAAAAAAAACGCAATATTATTGCTCGTCAAGTCATCGCATGCTTGATATATGCAAATTTGCTCTGTTACGTTGTTACAAACTGCGCAAATGTCTTTGGCAAAAGTGAGTAATTAACTTTTATATTTGTCACTCGGCCAAACTAAGATATACCTGCTAATTCACCTGTACGGATTATAATGTATTATTTCAACAGATCGAGTTTGCTGTGCATATGACATGCCAGAAATGCGTCAATGCAATTCGCGAGAGTATAGCCGATGTGGAAGGTGTCCAAAATATTGATATATCGTTGGAACGTGGTACTGTTGTGGTCGAAACAAATCTACCTTATTCTGTCATACAAGAAAGAATTGAAAAGACTGGAAGGCAGGCGGTGCTGAAAGGATACGGAGGTTGAAATATATTTCATATTGTGCTATCATTTATAAAGATTAAATATATAGCTCCAGACTTAAGATATATGTAATGACTGTATAAAACTAAATTTTTAGATGAATTGAGCGCGGTGTCAATGTTAGGTGGAAATTCAGGATACAGTGTGGGTAATTTAGTGAAAGGAGTAATAAGGTTTGTCCAAACTCCAAAGGGATGTATTGTAGATGGTACAGTTGATGGATTAGCTCCAGGTGAACATGGTATACATATACACGAATGTGGCGACTTATCTAAAGGCTGTGACAGGTAAATCTGCTTATGAAGGTTTGTCATTGAGTCGACACTTTGCGTGAATACGATGATTACAGTGTAGGTGAGCACTTCAATCCAAATAATTCTTCACACGGAGATCCTGAAGATGAACTGTCCAAGAGGGTGAGTGTCAAGATTCGTTTATGTTTTTTAATATTTTAGTGATGTTTTCGTCTGTGATTACAGCATGCCGGTGATCTTGGTAATATCTCAGCAGATTCTACAGGCAGAGCTACATTTCGGAAAATAGATAAATTTCTTAAAATACCCGACATTATCGGCAGATCCCTAATTATTACTGAAAATCCTGACGATTTTGGAAAAGGTGACAATCCAGAATCTAAGATAAACGGAAACAGCGGAAATAGGTATGTGAAGTGATTATTGTCATAGTATAAAATTCTATCTCTATATAATTATCTTTCTGGTAGTTTTAATATTAAATTTTTTCATACAAGGTTGGCTTGTGGTATTATAGCCAGATCATCGGGGTTGTTTCAAAATACGAAGAAAATTTGCGCGTGTGATGGTCTCACAATATGGGATGAAAGAGATCGGGCTCTTGTACATAATGGTATTACAAAAAATTATACAAACTTTAATGAAAAAATATGCACAGTAATCTGAATATTTTCAAAGATGAAAGAGTTATTCCTGGGAATCACACATTTTATGCAGATATAAATTTTTAATCTCAGGAATATTTTATTTTTATATCGACACAAAGATTTTGTAACTTACTGGTGACTTAGCATTTTTATATACTTTTTCAAAGATCCAAGTTATGTGAAAATTGAAATTCCCTACAGCTAATTTCAGCCCAACAACTAATTTCACAGTAACATTAATTTTTTTTTCAAAAGTAACGTAATTTTTTCTTTTCAGCGAATTTGTAATTACGAAGACATAACACAAATTGAGTTAAAGAAATAACACATTCCATGTTGAAACATATCTGTACTAACAATAAAATATAATGTGAATACACATATTTGACGCATACTTTGTTATGTTATAAATTTCTGCATAAATATATATCTAGTCAGCATATTTTATATTTATAATTATATTTATATTATATTTTATAATTTTATTAGTTACGTATTAGAAAATACCGGTAGTGTAAAGACTACATAAAATTATTATAGTTCTGTAAACAATGCAAAAATGCAATAAAATACAGATATAATCAGCAGGTATAAATGTTGACACATTTTAATCAAATCTGGTACATTCTTGGCACTTAGTTGGTATACAAATTTTCTGTCCTGGCGACACTGCTCACTATAATGTACGTGCAGCAAGTGCAAATAAAACGAACAAATTTGTAGCTATGGTCCTTCTGATTTCATATTCCTCTCCGGATTCTACATGATAAAATTGAATGAACAAATGTATATAAAGAAGAATAAGGATTTCTTGCGTATCGTTGTAATTAATTGTACAAGACAGATAATGTAGCGTAAATAAATTATATCAAGGAATGCACATGAACGAAACACATTGAGGTTAGATTTTAATCACAAATATAAACTTAACGTTGTGGTTGATAAGAAGAAGACATAAAAAAGCAAAATAAAGTTCAGAAATATTAAAAATATTAATTGATATTTTACAGGCACTTTTAGTTCGAGCGAATACAAATTGATAAAAATCTCCGAGGGTCAACTTTCAGGATGGGAATTCCTGGCCTAACAACGTTTATCGCGAATTATTCTGAGCGTTATCTTGTAAATTATGAACTGCATGACACTTATTTAGTAATTGATGGCAACAGTATAGCGTGTCAACTGTACAATTGGTATGCAAATTGTAATTGCGCTTTTGGTGGTGATTATGATAAATATGCACAATGTGTGTTGGAATTTTTCGACGAACTTTCAAAGTGCAATGTTACCCCATTGGTGTTATTTGACGGGGGCAGTGAAGACAAGAAGCTCAAGACAATTATAACCCGAGCTCGAGAGAAGATACGATTAGCATCATATTACACGCCATCGTCTCAGCACAGAAATAAATTCTTTCCTTTATGTATAAAGGAAGTTTTCAAAGATGTCATGAAAGAAAAAGGCATCAGGTATGTACAATGTATATTTGAAGCGGACAATACCATAGCCGCGGTAGCTCGTATTCTCAGGTGTCCTGTATTGAGTTACGATTCTGACTTCTACATTTACGGATCGTTGTACATACCGTTTAGCACATGGCGAAATTATATTGTCCGTAATTCAGCGGGCAATGGTTATGTGAAACGTTGCAAGATTTATTGCGTTGAGAATCTCTTTCACTCTTATAACGGATTAAATCAATCTCTGTTGCCATTGGCAGCGGTATTACTGGGGAATGACTATGTGAAGCAACATACATTTAGAAACTTCTTCCGTCACCTGAAGTTACCACCGGCAGGAAGGAGGAAGTACAACGAACAACAACGTCGTATCGATGCCACGTTCGATTGGTTGCGAAGGAACAGCTTAAACCAAGCTATAATAGGAATACTAAGTAGACTGCGAAAAGAAAAGCGCCAACAGGTGTTAAAAATAATAGAAACGATAATAAACAGTTACATCAATGCGTCGTTGAGTGTGCTGGCTCTGCTGGGTGTACCTGCGGAGAAATTCTCAAGAGTACACATGCATGGCGCATCCAAGACGTATAAATTCGAAGGCGATATTTACAAGTTGATGTATATCGAAGAAAAGACAAATGAAACGGAGCTAAGCGAGGAAGAGGAAGTGGATGAGCAGGAAGCGACGAGCATACTTCAAGAAACAGAATTGGTTTCTAATGAATCACTTGTTAACAATTTGCCCGAGTGGTTTATTAACGAATTCAAGATGGGCATGTATCCAAGTTACTTTATCGACTTGATAATACGGAAGCTGTATATTTTCCCCGCGCAAGTTGAAGATTACTATTACGCGTCGTCTGCCATCGCGAGTTTGAAAATTATAAATGCCATATATGGGCTGCTAATATCAGGAATGGACGGAGAGAAAAGCAATATGAAGTATATGACCAGGGATGAAAATAAGAGAATAAGGCATTATTGTTTGGAATACAATGACAACATATTCGATTGCAAACTTCCCGCTCTGTCTAACTTGAGAGATGTGCCGATTGCGATCAGAAAAGAAATGTTGAACACTACTCTGGGAGTTATCGGTGAAAATTGTATGAATGAAATTCCGTCAGCATGGATGTTGTACGTCGCGACCATGAAGCACTGGATAGATCAGCAACAAGAACCAGCTAAGCTTAATTATCACGTGTACTCCTTATTATTTGCTATGTTATTTAACATAATAGATTACAAAGTGGGCGTTTATAGAATCTTAAACACTTTCCAACAGAAATTCTACGGAACCGTGCAAAATATTCAGTCCGCAAGAAAACTTGGTAATTACCGGCCGCAGTATTCAACGGACGTTACGATCTTATATGCGCTTCACGAAGTTAACGCGGACGATTGTTTGATCGCGGCCTCGTTCTTTGTATCTAATTTCGAGATGGACCATAAATTGTATTCTCAACCGAAGAAATTCAACGTCACAATCGTACACAGATTTGCGGAGTTTCAAAATTGCCTGAGGCATAGCATGCATTTAAATGCATTATTAGGGTATCCGTACGAGCCAACCAAAATCGCGAGCCTGTTCAATGGTACATTGTTGTATAATCTGTGTAGCAATTTTAAGAAACGCGATAATGTCGAGACCTATATCAATTCGATTTTACATAGCTCCCCGAGTCTAGAGCGTCTGTTTAATATTCTGTTGTTAAAACTCAAGCCCTTGTTTAATATGCAAACGATGCAGACGAAAGTCAGTAGACATAAAAAGCAAAGGACGAAGTACGAGAAGAAGGGAGAGTCCGCGCAAGAAGATCACGAGGAAGAAACTGAGAAGAAATGTGAAAGCGCTAATGAACCATCCTTCCACGACGTAAATAATCCATTTACTGTACTCGATGCTATGCAAGAGTAAAGTTTCTACTGTACATATCATCGGGAGAGTCGTGCTTGATATATTTTGTGAGCTTACGGAAGAATCGTATTATGTAAAAATATCTGTTACAATTCGATCCGATATGACTGACGACTGTAAAAAATCAACAACCGAATCTTTCATGCGGTTAGATAATATCAAAAATCCTCGCTGCTATTAGATTCGTCACTTCTGGGAGAATTCGTGCAATCTGTTCGTCTTCGATGCGCCATTGGTTGTTTCGCGTGGATCTTCTTCCTCGTGTTGGGCACTTGATTGTTCTAAATGAAAAAACACGGATAGATTTTTGCCGTAAAGTATGAAAATTGACGTGAGAAAATTCATCATTGGTCCTACGTTTTTGTACAGTTCCCAGAATGCAGTGATCCCTCTTTTAACAGCATTTGCCTCTTCTCGTAAAGTCGGTATGTAATATTCGTCTTTATCACGTTGACCAAGCAGTCCAACGCAAACAGCATATCTCAGTTTCTCCTGTAATTCCTGCTGGAGAACGACGAAATCTCTTTCAACGGGATAATATCTCTGTATATATTCCCCTAAAGTCTTTGACTCAACAAACAATTGATGCATTTGTAGTTCTTCTACAGCTGTACGTAACATTTGCGGCGTTATAGGGATTTTTCCCATCTGCGTGTGTAAAATAGAATTGGATTTTTCAGTAATATAATTACAACGATCATGGACAAATTTGATTTTACTCGAGAGTTCCATATGCTATCGCATAATTGAGTAAACATCAATGCGCGATAGGAATATTGTATGTATCCGGAAATAGCATAGTTTTATATATGTTCTTTAAACGTATACGATTATAAAATGTTAATATACGTTTAAAAAACATAGATGAAGCTAACATGTGCCACGTGGGTATTTGCATATTATGATTACATATGATCAAGATTATATTTTTATAACGGTCTTTTATCATTTCTTTCAAAATTGAAGAGAGCGTTCAAAAATTTGTCAATAGCATAATATTAGGTGTAGTTTTGTATATTCCACTTACGTTATTTGGTGAATTATACATGTTAATATAGCAGTGACATTTTATGTAATTTTAACGTAAAAAATTTAATGACATGATTACCAAATCTGATTACCACCTGATTTGGATATAATCGATAGTTCGTAGAATGCACAAATATCATTATTTCATTGTTTCTAAACTTTTGTAAAAATCACAAAGATTTTGAAATAAAAGAAACTTATATAAAACACAGTATGTTCTGTATTACTCATAACAAGAGAAATTAATTAATTTTTTTATTCAAAATAAATTTAAAATAAAATATCGATAATGGTATTGAAACTCGCACGAACATCTTATTTATTTATTACAATGATATTTCCCAATTACAATGATATTATTATCATAGGCAAATACATGAATTAAACATATACGATGTTTTATAGAAATTAAATTAATATGGTATATTATATTTCAACAATTTATATATATCTTAATGTAACAATTTTTTAGGTTGCGATAATAATATTATTATTTATTTCTCATAATTTGATAGAGATAATAAACATGGAACAAAGGTAACAAAAATTATTATGTGAACATGACCAATTAGTTAAATAATATCTCATTGATCAGAATAAAAAAATAGGTATATTTGTATATTTGTATATATATATATACTTCGTCCCAATTTTTTAAGCGTCAATAAAGAATTAAAATAAACATCCTATTTTATATTCTTTGAAAAATACTCATTGAATGTAAAAATGGTATACTTCCGTAAGGAATATAAAGTAGATGATACAATGAAGCATAACAAATATGAAAAAACTACGTGTCAGTACTGACTACATTTTTAAAATATAAAAAGAATTTTCTGACTAATCGATGTTGTTATATCATGTATATATATATTGTTATATCATGTTTAATGTACGAGATAAAAGTATATGTATATACACATAATATTCTTAAAATTCCGGCCAAATTCTAATTATTACGATATAATCAATAATTTCCCTTGTAATTGTTTTTGTTGAAACAATTGTATACAAATTGTATACAAGTAACATGCAAATATTTATATGCATGATATAAAATATATAGATGTAACAAGTATAAATTATTAAAATAGTTACTTTGCATATAATTTTGGGGATTCTTCTGAACC